TGAGTGATATGATTTTTCCCAACCTTTCACCTTCAGCCTATGTATGTCTTTTCCTATCAAATGCGTCTCCTGTAGGCAGCATATTGTTGGGTCTTGTTTTGTGATCCATTCTACTAGCCTGTGTCTCTTAATTGGTGAGTTTAAGCCATTAACATTTAGGGTTATTATTGAGATATGGGTTGTTCTTCCAGCCATATTTGTTTATTTCTGTTACTAAACATGGTTTGTTTTCCTCTTTGATTATTTCCCCCCCCTTTACTCTCCTACCTCCCACTGTTGGTTTTCATTGTTATTTTCCATTTCCTCTTCCTGTAATGCTTTGGCGAGGATGTTTTGAAGAGATGGTTTTCTAGCTGCGAATTCTTTTTTTTTTTTTGTTTTTTTTTTTTTTCTCTCTGATATTAGACACTCCTATCTTCTCATATTCGATTCTCTCTATAGGTAATCTCATTTATACCTATTCCTGCGAATTCTTTAAACTTTTGTTTATCGTGGAAGGTTTTAATTTCATCTTCCATCATGAAGCTTAGTTTCACTGGATACACAATTCTTGGTTGGAACCCATTTTCTTTCAGTGTTTGAAATATGTTATTCCAGGATCTTCTAGCTTTCAGAGTCTGTGTTGAAAGATCAGCTGTTATCCTGATTGGCTTACCCCTAAATGTAATCTGCTTCCTTTCTCTTGTAGCTTTTAAAATTCTCTCCTTATTCTGTATGTTGGGCATCTTCATTATAATGTGTCTAGGTGTGGATCTCTTATGATTTTGCACATTCGGCGTCCTGTAGGCTTCTAGGATTTGGGATTCTGTCTCATTCTTCAAGTCTGGGAAGTTTTCTTGTATTATTTCATTGAATAGACTGCTCATTCCTTTGGTTTGGAGCTCTGTACCTTCCTGTATCCCAATGACTCTTAAGTTTGGTCTCTTAATGTTATCCCATATTTCTGGGATGTTCTGCTCATGGTTTCTTAACAGTCTTGCTGAGCTGTCTATGTTCTTTTCCAGTTGAAATACTTTGTCTTCATTGTCTGATGTTCTATCTTCTAAGTGTTCTACTCTGCTGGTAGTATTCTCCATTGAGTTTTTAAGTTGGTTTATTGCTTCCTGCATTTCTAGGATTTCTGATTGCTTGTTTTTTATAACCTCTATCTCCCTGTATAGTTGATCCTTTGCTTCCTGGATTTGTTTGCGTAATTCGTTGTCGAAGTGATCTTTCATTGTCTGATTTTGCTGTTTAATGTCTTCCTTGATACTCCAGATCATCTGAAGCATGTATATCCTGAATTCTTTATCTGACATTCCATCTGCTGCAGCTGTTACCTCTTCTAAAGTTGCGTTGACCTGCATTGCTTGTGGTCCTTTCTTTCCTTGTCTTTTCATACTGCTTGCGTATCTTTCCTGCAGGCGCGGGCGGCGGCTCTGCTCTCTCCTTATTCCAATTGGGGTGTCGTGGCTACCACGCCGGCAGGTCACTGGGCCTATTCTGGGCGCTGGCGGCGGCTCTGTTCTGCCCCTACTCCAATTGGGGTGACGAGTGTACCACGCCGGCAGGCCACCGGGCATGATCCGCCGGTCGGTTGCGGGTTTGCCTACCCTGCAGGCACGGGCGGCAGCTCTACTCTGCCCCTACTCCAAATGGGGTGACGTGTCTGTCGTACCGGCAGGCCACTGGGCCTGTCCCGCTGGTCGGTCGCAGATCTGCCCACCTTTCGGGCACGGGTGGAGGCTCTGCTCTGCCCCTACTCCAATTGGGGTGTCGTGACTACCCCGCCTGCAGGACGCTGGGCCTGTTCCTGGCACGGGTGGCGACTCTGCTCTGCCCCTACTCCAATTAGGGTGGTGTGTGTACCACGCCAGCAGGCTCCTGGGCCTGATCCGCCGGTCTGTTGCAGGTCTGCCTACCTTGGAGGCGCGGGCGGCGGATCTGCCCTGCCCCTCCTACCACGCCTGCGGACCCCTGGGCCTGATCTGCAGGTTGGTCACAGTTCTGCTCACCCTGCGGGCACGGGTGGCGGTTCCGCTCTGCCCCCACTCCAATTGGGGTCACGTGGCCACCACACCGGCAGGGCCTGATCCAGGCGTGGGAGAAGGATCTGCTCTGCCCCTACTCCAGTTGGGGTGACGTGTGTACCACACTGGCAGGCCACTGGGCCTGACCCGCCAGGCTGTCACAGGTCTGTTTACCTTGCAAGCGTGAATGGCGGCTCTGCCCTGCCCCTCCTACCACGCCCATGTACCACTGGATTGCGGGTCTGCCCACCTTGCGGGTGCGGGTGGCGGCTCTGCTCCGCCCCCTCTCCAATTGGGGTCACGCGGTCACCACGCTGGCGAGCCGCTGGGCCTGCTCCGGGCGCTGGTGGCGGCCCGGCTCCTCCCCTCTGGCTCGACGACAAATTGAGGAGACTCGGGTGTCTGTGCCTCACCCCCCCTACCAGGAGACCAACTGTTTATGTCGCCGCTGGTATTGATGAAGTTCTCTCCTCCGCCGCTTTCTGATGACATCAGATCTCTGCCATGTTGGTATCCTATGCGAATGGCAGCATTTCGTTCCCCTTGCCGGGCAACCAAAGCAACGGGTGAGTCCTGACCGGCCCTCAGCAGGACCCGGACCGAGAAGCAGTTTCCGCGGGCTCCTAGCCCCGGGCCAGGGAAGTTCCGGGAGCTGGAACTCGGCCGCTCCGTGCTCGGTGTAAGCTCCTATAAGAGTAGGCTCCAAGAAGCAGTCCCCGCGGGCTCAGTTCCGGGAGCCGGAATTCGGCCGCTTAGTGCTTGGTGTATGCTCTGATAGTAGCAGGGTCCAAGAAGCAGCCTCCGCAGGCTCCGCAGCCCTGGGCCAGGGCGGTTCCGGGACGGTTCCGGGAGCCGGAGCTCGGCCGCCCCGCGCTCAGTGTTTGCTCCGATAAGATCAGATTCTAAGAAGCACCCAGGCGCTGAACCCTAGCAATCTGTCTGCAAGCCGCAGGCGAATTGCAGCCTGAAATTACCTGTTCTATGGCTGAATGAGCTGTGGTCAGTCGAAAACAGGGAAGGTGACGTCAGTTTACCAACATGGTGGCTGCTGGCCTCCTCTGTGGTCTGACCGGTGTGGAGAACCGAGATGGACCGCTTCCTTCCCCCGTCTCGAACCCAGAATTCAGCCCTGAGTACGGTGCTTGCGCGGCTGGCAGAAACTGCAGCGCTGTAACCCTGCGTCTCTATCCCAGCGCGCGCTGCAGACTCTAGCCGCGGGGCGATTTGCTGAATAAGCAGTGTTACCCTCCGTGCGACAAACCTCTCGCGTTTGAGTCCCCGTAGCCGATCCTCGTGCGATGGAAATCCTTCCTCCAGGTTCCGGAGCACCCCACTATTGCTGGAAATTCCTAACAAGATATCCTTTAGCCGTCCTGACTTGTCATACTCCCACGCAGTGGAGCAGCACACGGGGGCAATGCACTCCCCTCGCCGCCATCTTTGCTTCTGTTGTTTAGCTTTTTAAGACTATCTTTTTTTCATTTAATATGCATTTGAGCTTCTTCCGTGTCCTTTTGTGATTACCAGCTCATTTGTGTTTATTGCTTAATAATACTTCATTGTATGGATGTACCATAGTTTGTATGTTCATCCACCTATTGAAGGAACATGATTACTTTTATTTTTGACAATTTTGAATAAAACTCTTGTAAGTATTTGTGTGCAGGTATTTTTTTTTCAGTAGACATATATTTTCAACTCACTTAAGTAAATATATAATGAATATTAGAATCTAGCCTCAGACCTTACATTTTTCTTTAAAATTAAGACAAAATGGATCAGAGATCTAAATGAAAATCACAAAATTATATAATTTCTATGAAAATTTATTTTGTAAATTTTATATGAAAAGAGAAAGTCTAGGTGACCTTGAATTTGGCCAGGGACAGAATGCTATGGACTAAATGTTGTGGCCCCTCCAAAATTCATATGTTTAATATGGAAGTGGAACCTTTGAGAGCTAAGTCATGAAGGTAGAACCTCATGAATGAAATTAGTGCTCCTAAAGCTGAGACGTGAGAGAGATGATATTCTTTCTGACATGTGAGGATATAGCAAGAAAGCATTCATTCAAAAATCAGAAAGAGATATTTAGGAACCAAGACCTGGCAATAAGTTGGGTTGGCTTTGAAATGACAGGTACATTTACTGAGATAGATGATAAATTAATTGATACTTGGAAAACAGACAAGGATGGGCTCGAAAGACATGTTGAATTTGACATGCATGTAGGAAGGATGTCTAGATGAACATGTCTAGTAGATAGAGGATATATAGGTTGCCAGTCCAAGAGAGAAGTTAAGATGGAAGTCCTAGATTATGCAGCATAGTTATAATTATGAGGTTGAGGACAGAATCCTTGAGATCCCAAACCTTAAATTGGTGAATAGAATAAGCCTTGGCAATGGACTTAATATGAGTTAAACAAAGACTGAGGAGGGAGTTGGCCAAGAGAAAGTAATGTCACAGAGAGGAGAGTAGTCAGTGAGATTCAAGTGCCACCGATAGAAACAGTAGAACCGAAAAAACTCTGTAGGATTTGGCTTAGTAGAAGGATGAGCAAAATCTTTTTTTTTTTTAATTAGAGATAGTGGCTTTTTAACACACTGACTTTGAAAGGAAGAGAATTGGTGAGAAAACAAAGTTATTTGAGTGTAGGGAGCAAATAGAATAGATTTTTTTTTCCTAACAAAAGGAATATGATAAAAGTATCAGAAGTAGACTATCTTAACTAATAAGATAGTTAATAAATTAATGATGGTTCAAAATATACAACCAAATAATGAGTATTATAAATATTTGTGATAGAGCCATGGTATTCTTATTTAAATGTAATGCTAAAATACAGCAACAAGCCCAATGATTATATGTCATAAACACAAAAATGATTTGTTGGATTGATTGAATTGGTTTCAATTAACATGTAAATCATCATCTTCTGTGTTCTGGAGAAGTATAAAGTTTAATGTGTGCATTTGCTTCCTAATGAAGGTCATCGAACACTGTTTATTGGAGTTCATGTGCCCCTGGGAGGAAGAAAAAGCCATCGACGTCATCGGCATCGTGGTCACAAACACAGAAAAAGAGATAGAGAGAGAGATTCAGGGTTAGAGGATGGACGGGAGTCACCTTCTTTTGGTAAGCAGCATTCTTGTTTTATTGAATTTGTGATTGTAATAATGTACTTGCTCTGCAATACATAATTAGCAGTAATTCCTCATACTCATAAAGTCATTTATACTATTTTAAAGACTTTGGGAGGATGGGGAGAAAAGGGAACAAGCTTGATCTTTGTTTTTCACTTTAATCTGCTTTGTGAAATTGAAAATTGAATTAATTTTATGATATAGATAATAAAATAAAGTAGTAAAGCTTGTTCATCTATCTTCTATCTGTCTATCTATCTATCTACAGTGTTGGGGATTCAACACAGGCCCTTGCCCAGCTATGTAAGCACCCCACCAATGAGCTACATCCCCAATTCTAGTTGTATATAACCTGGATAACTAATATAAAGAATGGCCATTGCTCTAAGTCATTTAAAAATCCAGGCGAAAATATCAAGTTCCCATTCATACTATTGGTAAGGCTACCCAAATTTTACTCTTAGGACCTGAATATTTTGAGTATTTATCCTTCCAAAGTACATATAGCCAAAGTATTACTTTTTGTAGTTTTCAAAAATTCCTGAGTGCCATGAGAACCCATTTGTATGACATAACTAAGAGTCTGGCTGTCAGTTCCTTGACCTTTCTAACTCCTATGGCCTTCTGATCTTCTTCACCACTGTGCTAAGCTCACCAACCCACCTATAAGTACTCCATCTCTGAAGTTATTAATTTAACTCAGCCACTGACTATAGTTTCTCTACTTCTTGTTTTCTTGGGCAACAATTTGATCGCTCTACTTTTTTCTATCCACAAATTATTCTTCTTTCCTTATACTATTCCAGTTTCATAGCTTATAATTTTAGCGATAGTTATGCCATTATTCTAAATACCTTAGGTTCTCTGTTTTAGTTTTATTCATATTTTTATTCCCTTTTAAAAACCATACTCATGTTGAAGTTCCCCCATGTCCCTACTTCCTTTCTGCATTCATAAGTAGACAGAGCATGGTGAAAATAATAATTCATCAGGGAAGATAGTAACCATTATATATTCTTGACTCAAGGGAACCTTCAACACCTCCTTTCAATTTTATTGCATTTCTTTGGTGTTTAAAATAATTATTTTTCTACCTCCTTCACCATTTTCTGGCATCTCCTATTTTCACCATCATTTAGCAGATTGTCTTGTCTTCTACCTCAGAGAGAAAAACTATCATCCAAAAGAACTCACTTAACTTCCCTTCTATTAAATATTCAGACCTATATGTCCATATCACAACCAACCTCATTTCTTATAATAAACAAAAGAATACTTTTAATTCTTTCTCATAATTTCTAGAAATGTATATAATTTATAATCTAATTGACTTTCCCTTTTCAACTTTATTTTTGCAGCACTGGGTGTTGAACTTAGAGCCTTGTGCATATGAGGCAAGCACTTTACCACTGAGCTACATTCCCAGTCCTCAGCACATTTTTAAACAGGAACCTCTCCTGTTTTAAATAGTTTCTCAACCTTCCTTAGCCCGCATTCTCCCTTTAGTAATTCAGACATGAAATAAATTAACTGCATAAAAATCTGGGGTAATACTTTCACTTTTAAAAGCTATAGATACTGCTTTGTTCAATATTTGTTTTTACTGAATATTACAGAAAATTCTGTTTAAGTGCTGCATTTTTTTCATCTTTTAAGTTCATGCCTTCTAAATCTGAATGCTTATAGGCATTTTTTCTGTGTGTCTTTAATTAAGAAAACTTGCAGAGATAGATCTAATAGTAGGTATACTAAAAAAGCCTTTCCAATTTACATACTTTGATATTTTTCCACTTAGGAAAAAATTTCCTATTCTATTGATTCTATTCCATTTGCTTTGATCTCTTCATTTTGAATATTAGTTATTTGCATGTTATATTTCCAGTGTCTGCTTTTTGTCCCTTTCCTCTGTAGTTGAAAGTTACTTTCCTATGGTACCTTTTTATCATCTGCGGTATCAATTCTGCATTTTATTATTTTCAGGATAGGTTTAATTTGCTATTGACTTTTAGTTTTCTTTTTTTAAATTTTTTTATTGGTTGTTCAAAACATTACATAGCTCTTGACATATCATATTTCATACTTTAGATTCAAGTGGGTTATGAACTCCCATTTTTACCCCGTATACAGATTGCAGAATCACATCGGTTACATATCCACATTTTTACATAATGCCATATTAGTAACTGTTGTATTCTGCTACCTTTCCTATCCTCTACTATCCCCCCTTCCCTCCCCTCCCCTCCCCTCCCCTCCCATCTTCTCTCTCTATCCCATCTGCTGTAATTTAATTCTCTCCCAAAATCATGGAATTTGCAGGGAAATGGATGGCATTAGAGCAGATTATGCTAAGTGAAGCTAGCCAATCCCTAAAGAACAAATGCCAAATGTCTTCTTTGATATAATGAGAGCAACTAAGAACAGAGCAGGGAGGAAGAGCAGGAGGAAAAGATTAACATTGAACAGAGACATGAGGTGGGAGGGAAAGGGAGAGAAAAGGGAAATTGCATGGAAATGGAAGGAGACCCTCATTGTTATACAAAATTACATATAAGAAGTTGTGAGGGGAAAGGGAAAAAAAACAAGGGAGAGAATTAAATTGATTTTTAGTTTTCTTGAACTGTTCTAATATTACCCTATTTTCTTTGCACTTTCTCCTGTCCTTTCCTAATCACTTTTATTTTTCTCTTGATTTTATTTTTTTATAGTCTACTGAGACTCCTCAGCTATTTCTAGACATGTCCTCTTATAGGGAAGTAGGCAATTTTCAGAGATATGGTCTTCCTTTGATCTGTCAAGATTATTTTTATTCTCCATTGATTTGTAGTATTTTTATAGACACCCAAGTTTTTTCTCTTTGCTCATTTTTAAACTTGGCAAGATTTATCCATTCCATATCTATGCATCTATGTTTTAAGTTTGCTTAGAAAGGTTGCTACCAATATGCTCCCTGACTCCTTCACTTGTATAGTGATAGGTATTAAATCTCTCCAGACCCCATGTATTTCTGTCAGAGGTAGAATGGTAACTGGTGGCAGAGCACACAATGGAAGTAGTCCATCCCAGCTTGACAGAAAGGTGGTTGTCTCTGATTCAGTGGACAGAGAGTAGAGTGTAAATTGTATCTCATATCTTCAGGTGTTTTCTGTCTAATGAGGTGATGTTTGAGAGTATAAGAAAGAGACAGTTGAGTAGATATTTTTTAAGCTTCATCTGCTTATAGTTAATAAATACTTTCTCTTAGACTGTGGAAATGGCTTATCTTTTAGACTAAGCTTTAAAGATGAGTTATCATCTTCTAGTATTTCAGAAAACATACTCATATAACCTCAGAATCATTTAATAAAATAAGTTAAGTGTATTATCTTTTGCTCACTTTCTCTGCTTCTGACTTCTTTTATTTCACGGATGAACACATACATGTCATTTCCACCCCCCACCCCCCCGCGAACAGTAGTTCTTGATACTGACTGCACTTGGGGTTTCTAAAAACACTGATGACCAAGCCACAATCCAAATCTCTGTGCTTGAGGCCCACATGATTACTTAAAAAGACAAAAGTACCGCAGGAGATTTTACTTTGCAACTAAGGCTGAGAATCTGTTATAAAACCTTTGCTATTCAATTGTGGTCAATGAACCAGAAATATTGGCATCATATTTAAGTTTGTTAGAATCAGAATCTCAAGTCCTACTCCAGACTTTTTGGATAAGAATTTGTATATTATCGATGCTCTCAGGTGCCTTGTATGCATGTTAAAATTTTGGTAAGCAATGCTTTAAACCATTGCTTGTCAAGCCATGTTACATATTAGAATAATACGAGGAATTTTAAAAGGAACCAGACTGATGTTGGGCCCTGCCTTCAAAGATTTCATTAGTTTAATCCTGGGTGTTTCCATAAGGACTGATATTTTTTAAAAATACTCACGCATGATTTAATACCAAGCTGAGATCAAGAGCCATCAATCCTAAGAAGTTCTGAGTCTTTGGTGAAACTTGGAAATAACTCAGGTGGCTCAGATACTCCCTCTCATGTGTCAGTCACTATTTTTGGATCCCATACCTCCTTCCTCCTCTAATAATTTGAGGATCTTTATTGACATTTAGAACTTAGATCTCTCTTATCAGGGACAACTGTTTGGCATCCCAATGATCTCTAAGCAGCAGAACTTCACGTTTTTTAGTTTCTTTAGGAGTAATCATCTATCATTGTCCCTACTTCACAGTCAGTTCTGTTGCCTTGATAATTCAGTATTTAGTCACAGACTGAGACTTAAACTGTGTTATCAACACCCTCCCCTTTGATTTGTGAGTTGTTATTCTGCATTGTGGGGATATATGAAATTTCTATGCTCACGACTTCAAAGAAAACTTCTAACCACTTAAGAAATATTTATTTTATTTGGAATGATTCCAAAGAAAGTCTTTTGAAGATATTACTGCAGGTGCCTCAAAATTCTTCAGAATTAAATTCCAAAGAGATAAAAGAAAACAATTCAAGAGAGCATTAAGTTCCTGTGCTAAGAATCTGGAAGTTTTATACTGTAAATTATACTGTAAATTGGAGTATGTATTTGTCAAGACATGGAATAATTTGAGCCCAAATTTCTGGAGCAGACACCAACTTAACAAAAAGTCTTTGGAGAAATGTTTAAATTTTGACACTTTTAATGTTTTATTATTCCAATATGTGAGCAATATCAGTGGAATCCTAATTTATTATGTTACTCAATAAGCAATATAGTGTCCTTAGGAACCTGATTTAATCCTGCATTCAGGTAAGAGAAAAAAGAGATTATGCTTATGTCACAGACATGAAATGACAGGTCCAGTCCACCAGATCTAGTAGTTGGGATGCAATTCCTAGGTGAGTTCAAGGATAGACCCAAATTTTGGGGTTGTATCATAGTGGTGGTGATGATGTTTTGATTATTCAAAAAAAAATTTGATACTCACAAATAAATCCTACATACTTTTTCTACTGTAATCAATA